ATGGAGGGCTGTTTGAGGATTCCTGCGACCCACATCGGTCGTTCGGTGGTAGACGCTGAGGCTGCGCAGGCCATGCCGGCAGGGTGAGCCGGCTGTCTTCACCACGGATCCTGAAAAGGCTTAGACCCATCAACAGCTAGGACCAGGGACCAGGGTTGTTCATGAATTGAAAAAAGGACCTAGGAGAAGCCAGAGGTCTTTTATGCATCCTTTCAGGGTCTTTTGAAGAGGTCTCCTTATGGCGAGATATTGATATTGAGATGTTGCTTGCAGCGAATCCAGGTGCCAGTGTAGGTAAGCTAAGCCTAAGCACTGTTTGGAAAGACTCCCATCCATTTGAGCTGGACACCTGAGATATATCTACGGTAACTGGGATTCACTGGATTGCATCAATACAATTGCGGATGATTGTAACTTTACACAAGGTCATTAATACATGGACAATAAGGTCAGCTCAGTGGTCAGCTCATTGTGTCGATCTCAACACAAGACAAACACCATTGGGACCTTGACATAATGAAAGACATGGGCATGACAAGCTTTACACTTTATTGGATTGTTTTTGCTTTTTCACTTTGTTGTGAAGGATTCAGGATCAGATGTAGCCCAACACGGGATGTTTTGAAAGTCGCCGGCAAAAGTTAGAGGTTTACAAGCCACATGCAGCCCAACCAATCAGAAGCACACACACTTCTGCTGAAGGTCACTGAAGAGGATGCACTAATTTTAGACACACTGATGAATATCATGTAAATTCATTCAACATATTTTAACATAATGAATCTCTATGAATCTCTTCAATCTCAAACCACCCGAAACGTGGTGACATCGGTGGCTGGTGAAACCGTGCGGAAACCAGCCAAGCTTCCAAGAAGCTTCGTCATGGACTGATGCAGAGACGGTGAACCAACATGCCTTGTTTGATGCCCCTTATTCCAGGTACACAAGACCTTACCATCTTCTTGGGCCCCTTAGCTTTTGAAGGGGTGGTACATAAAATGATGGATGTGTTGAGCGGAACTGTTTCAAGTTAACAGCATACCGGCAAGCGCGTGCACGACGCGCTGGCCGATTCGGACCTTGTTGGTGGCCCTAAAACGAAGTGATCATTGACTATCAGTCCGAGAAGGATCCCCGAACACATCGGGGTATCCTCAGCACTATCAAGTCTGTTGAGGCGTTTGTTAGACTATGTTATGGAGATTGTACCTCCTGGCAGCTTGCTGATCAGCGGTCGGGCATGCGCTCGAGCGCAAAACGATGAACCGTGCATCGAGTCCAGTCATATGGGTATGATGCGCATGAACCATGGCTACAAACGCCTGGCCGGCCCATAGGAGGTGACACTCCAGTGGATGACACCATATATACAGACTAATCTCTGGATTCACAGGGAAAGAAGGGGATACTATTCGGCATGGGTCCCTGCAAAAACCATGTTGAAGAGAGTCGGAAACACAATCCCTGCAAAGTGTTTTTGGGTTTGTTGTCCAGCATCTCAGCCATATTCAGACCCAGCATGGGGACTTAGAAAATTGAGATGATAATGTTTGAGAAATACTTGATGGATGTTTGCTGCCTGTTGCGATCATCTCTTTTAGACCCCGAACGAGCTTTCGGTTTGTGTGGTTTCCCCTACGGCATATTTACCTACATTGGAGTTGTTGAGAAGGGCTGAAGGTAGGTAAATCTTCCAGGCGCATGGAGTGCTTGGGTATGTTTTGGGATGTCCCAACGTTCTTTTCCAATTGGTGTCTCACCCTGTGGATGCCATTCATGCTTCGGAAAATGCACCTAGCTTGGATCCCTCCCCCCGTTTCCTGACACCGGCGGGGGGTCCGAAAGACCGCGGCAACCGGGGGCAGCCAACGTACCGGAGCGGCGGTGGAGAACCGGAGGACACCCAGGACTGCTGGGAAGGATGCTGATGAAGGGCATGTCATGTAGGCGAGTGTCGCCACGCTATGCTTCTAGGTAGAGGAGCTTCCTGGACTTGGTCATCTAGAGGTGCAAGATCAACCTCTTCCCAAGTTTTGCGACAACATGGTCCAACCTCCCTCGAATGCTTTGTCACTTGAGTTCCGGGCCCCAACTCATCCAAATCCTTTCCATACGTCCTGATCAAGATCTCATCAGAATTTCTGAAGGGGTCCCTGTTCGTCAAGTTGTTCAAGTATTTTCGGATCAACAGGTCTTTGCCAATCACATCTCCAGCAGCTCACTTGCTTCCAGCCACTTCCTGCCATTCAGCTCTTCCTGGTGCAAGATCCTCCAACTCAGAAGAGGCAGATGCCTGCCAGCTGCGTGGTGAGGACATGACAACTGGACAAAAAAAGGTCCATTTTGGTGGAAAACCGGATATCAAGAACCCATGGGCGCCCATGGTGTTCTTGTTTGAGTAGTGCACTTTGTCATTGTTGATTTGTTGCTTTCGGCTTTTGTGGTGTAGTCCATACTGTTGGAGTCCTGGAATTGGAACAATGGACACTCTCGTGTGACTCATTTGACAAGGAAACTGATTTATGCTGATATAGACACTCTGTATGACCAAACTGGGGTCTTCGGTGAGCGGCGGCTTCTCCTTGGCTTTTTGTCGAGGTTGTGATGAGATTGGCTTATAACAGTGGTCTCCAGTTGTTTCCATCCTGGTGCACCACGGTTTAGGCTTCTCCCATCAATCCTACTCAGGCGGAGGCAAAGCATCTACAAGGCGCGTGTAGCACTACCTCCCCAACGTGGTCATTTCCTGTTTCAACTTGGGTACCCACCATCACTCTTCTTCTTGAGCACAGAGCACATTGGTCATGGAGACGTGTTCACTCAGACGGATGGACTGATCACTTCAACTGATTTGAGGTCCTGACCCGACCAGCAACTGCATATCTTTTGTTTTGTGTCCTTTGCATGATTCTCGTACTGTCTCGTGTGTTCTCCATGGCAATATCTTCCAAAGACTCCATGGGATTGGCACATATTTGTCGATCAGTTGGGGTGGGGGTCTATGGAGGTATAAATATTCCAGTCCCATGGAGTGTTTGGGTATTATAGCTATATTATATGGTTCCTTCGACTGCAAGAATCGACCCTACTAACACAGCGCTTTTTGGCTGAGCATCTCGAACATCTTAGGAGGCTGGCAGAAGCGATGTCCTCCATACAAAAAAGAACTCTCAAACACAAGTGCGTCAGACGATTGCTTACATTCAATTGGATCGTCCCACAGTGCCATCGGGTCAGACATTCGACCTCCAGTCTCCTGTCACAAACCCCTTGGCCATATACATGACTGGGCAGGTGTGGGGTGCTCTGAGCCATTCAGGCTAATCTTCCATGGCAGAGCTACCAATCCACGTCAAACCTGGACCAACCTGGTGCCACTCCACTGCTCCAAGTTGCCATGGCAACCTGTCCCAGACATTCGCCGATCAGGCCAGGCGTGGTGGAATTTCGGGGTCTGTGTGGGGCGGCATATCCTCTTCCAGTCCTGTGGATGGTCTGGCCATGTTCTGCGGGGCTGTTGCTGTTGTGCTCCCGCCGCTTCCTAGGATTTTGAAGTGTGCTTTTTGCTCAGCTGCAATAGCCAGCCTGTGGTCAGTTGGACGACCTTTATATATTATATATTATCATATGAGTCTGTACACTATAGACATAACAAAGAAGGTTGGCGGGGTGAAAGACAAACTACCTATAAGGAAAGCGATAGGAGATGATAGGAGGGAACTTGGAAATTGTATGCTTTGGATGGTCTTGACAATTTCATCGAAGATAATAAAGGACGATATTTCAATATATGGTGGAGGGATGGCGATACAAAAATACAAGATGCATTTCTTGCTCATGTGGAGAAAGTATCTCCTACACGGGTACCAGACTTGATGTGATTCCCAATGACCTGCGACCGTGCGACCTCAAAACGAATGATCAGAACATACTAGACATTATTGTGCCGATGAGGACTTGGTTTTGAGGATGACATCGGTTGAGGACGTAGGGTTGCATTTTGCAACTTACTTAACTACCTCTAGAGGTAACTGATGTAGTCTCTTGCAACAGCTCCAAGGGAGAGTCCACAGAGGGATTCACATGATCGACCAGAATTGTCCGCAGCAGAGGAATGCAGATGCAGCACTTTGCGAGCCGCCGAGCACTGTGCTCGTGCAGCGCGCGGGGGAGAAGCGAGCTCACCTTACGCTTGCCCTTCTGAGTCCTTTCGGGTGAAGTTGATCCGTCAGAGTTTTCAGCATGGACAACGTCTGGGAGTTGCGTGTCTTGCTGTGACTCAGCTGAGAAAGACCAGCCGCGTGACACCATATTTGGCGAGAGCGTGTAGTCGCTGTGGTCCTATGATGCAACATGATGCAACGAATTATACACACTGTGTCAACCGCTGTGGTATACCACGACAGTCATTTTGGCTTACGATTTTGGCTGCTACAGCCGTATGACTTGCCTTTGTGGACTGCCCTTTCAGGGACGGCTACCGAAGCCAGTCCACGAGTCCATGAAGCCTTTGCGGAGCTGAAAAACGTTGAAAAACACAATCATTTAAAACCAAACTGTTGTTCATTTTTCAAAAGTCAGTTCATGTTCATGTCCATTTGTTCGATGTAACCTTGCTTTTGTCTATAAGGCCTAGGGCAAAGGCAACGAAAAGAAACTGTTTGCAAGTGCAACAGCTCATTCTGGGGTGCATGGCTTTTTTCAATTTTTGCAATTGTCATGACACTGGCAAATCAAACGGGAAAACAGAAACAATGGTTGTGGCTAAAGGCCCGGATTTCCAGCTAACAGCAACACACACACATCAGCATGATAGATTTTGCTCAGCAAGACCACGCCCAATGGCAGAATCAACCTCCCTGCACGGGTCCAGACGGTCCGAGACTGTAAGGTTGCATCGATCCTCGAGTTTCTGGCGATGATGCGGAGACCTGCAGTCTTGGAGGCAGCGGTTTGGTGATCAAAGTCGCTGGTTTTGTTGAGGTTGGCTTGACAGATTGGCAATCACCAAGATGCCGTTGGAGACTACCTACCTTGGTCCCCAGGCGAATCAAGTATCCCCTTTGTATTTGTTTCTGGGTTTGAAAGCATCAGTATACCAGGGAGTGCAGGATTCCATTTTTCAAAGCTGATTCAAGCTGCTTAGCGACGCAGACCAGATGCACCATGATGAACCCCACTTTTGGTTCAAGGGGTGGAGCCCCAAGTGATCTGTGTCAAGGATAGATCTCCTCTCGTCTCACTCATGACGTCCATGATGGAGTGGTGGTCATCGTGGCTTTTGGAGATGCACAGCAACTATGAGGCGGCCATGAAAGATCATCCGTTCGGTGCACCAGGTGACACTCGCTATTGGTTGCACAATCAGTTCTTGCTCTTGGGCACAATGATGGCAGTTTGCCTTCGGGTAGGTCTATGCCAGTGGCTAGGGAAAATGGTTCTTGTTTGGCTGATCTACTCGCCCGAGAATTGGGAAACAAACTACCAAGCACTGGAAGAGAACTCCCAAACAAATGATGGTTTGGAGTCCAATACTGCACCCGATGGAAATGCTAACGGCCAATTGCGGGAGCTCTTTCAGCCAGATGGTTGGGAACGAGCGTGCAAGCGCCTTGCCTATGACCCACGGGGATGGAAACCACATGTGGTGGCAGTGCTGAAACTATTGACATTTCACCTTGGGCAGGCTGCTGGCTACGGGGTTATTTTCATTGTGTATGCACCTGTGCTGTGGAATACAAGTGATTTCTTGTTCTATGTCGCTTGCTGTGTGCTGCTGCGCGAGACAGTCTATGCGGTGTCCGCTGTCCTGACATTGTCTATACGGCCCGGCTTCATGCTCTACAGCATGAAGCATGGCAACTTTTGGAGCAATATGGCATATATCGTTTTCCCAGACAAAGTGATGATTGCAAACCTTGATGATAGTGGTACATGGATCATTGTTTCAACAGCGTTAGACTTTCTCCCGGCACTTGGACTTGTAGTAGGGCAGAATGCTCAAGTCTTGGACCTACCCATCGTGGTGGCCTGGTTAGTAGCGGCAGCTCCTTCATATGTTGCTTTCTCTTTGCTTCCGACATATTGTTTAGTGTGCACCATCTTCGCTCTTGCTGACATTGTTTTACGCCTGCGCGGCCTTCCTGACTGAGTCTGTCAGCCTTTGTTCTTGATGTTTGTTTCCTTCTCGCTGGAAATGTACAGAGACGCGACCCGCGCGAAAAGAGTTGGCAGAACAAGTGCAACCAATTCCTACCTATGCCACATGAGTTGTTTGTTGATAACCATCATGTGGGTGAAGTACCTGTGGCCAAGAGGTTGCAACACTTTACATGTTTGATTCTCCACTAGTGACTAGTGGGGACAGTTGAAGAAGAAGCTTTGGCACATTCAGTACAAGTACGAGTGACTTACTTGCCGTTTCACAGATACCCGAACTACTCGGTGCTCGCAAGCTTTGTTTTAAGCTGTATATTTTTCTCAGTCAATGGCTGAACATCCATGTGATGGTGGTGATGAGTGATGTGACATCTATCGTACTAGGAAAACATCCACTGTTCATTGAACAATATTACTTATTTTGTGGCAATATTGTATCATCTGGCTTGGAGACATCTTGGAGATGTGCTTGGCATCTTGGTAAGGTAATTAGAGGTTACGACGGGACATGTGCAGCAATATCACTATGATGAAATGATGGATCTGTACCGGAACATGTACAACCCAGCAAAGTGATAAAGACATCAAGTAAATAAGGCAAATTACTGTAGTCATTAGCTTGTCTAGTCCTGCGGAGCATTGGGAACTATTGCACCAGTTTGATGCAGGAAGGAGTCGTCCGCGCATTTGGATCGAGGGCAAGTTCTGGTAGTTTGCTCTTTGTGGACCTTCTGTCAACGTGCCTCGGTGGCCTCTGGAGAGTCCGTGGCGTGACCTAAGTTGGGTTCATCACTCCCCCCACTTTGAAAGGCCTTTTGGTTTGTGAAAATCAATTTAAATGGACTATTTTTATACTTTTACTATTTTTATACTTTTACATGGGGCGTGCCGACCTCTATTCTCGCTAGCAACGGGGGTTGTTCATTATTTGCTCACTGATTGCTGAAAGCAAGGTTGCTTTGTATCCTCCAACTGTCTCATGCTTAAGAGAACACACTGGAGAGAACATGTTCGATAGCAAGTTTGCTGTTTGCTTTTCACGCTATTTCGATGTTTTAGTCCTGGGTTGTACGAAGAGCTGCTTCCAAAACTAGGATTGATTGCTACGTATTGTGGATATTGGTGGATTTTGTGGATTCATTGGTGGGTACATTAGATGATATTAGATGCATTGGAGAATTAACATGTGCATATCAAGGTTGGAAGAGGCTTCCCCCCTCAACACTTTCACAAACAAATCAATCCTGTTTTTCAGGGAACTGTCCAAGATTTGCCCTTTGCTTGCAGAGTTAATTGCTCAGTCTTTTGTACATAGGCCTAGGCATCGCTATTTGATTATGCAACCATGGAAGTTACGTTGCACACTACTTACATCGAGATCAGTCTCCTGAATGTGATTCCATTATTGTTGCTTGAACCCAGTTCTTGGCAGATCCGAATCCTGCCAGTCCAATTAGTTCTGCGGGCTCCACAGTCATTCGGAGTTCCAATGATTCCTTGTCCCAAGGAAGTGCTACGTACCTTGAGCCCCACCTGAAAAGGTGGGAAGTGATTTCTGTACTATTTCGATGACGGAAAGCATGACCATGCTGCGGCTCTGAGAGAAAGAAAGGCATTGTGTATGCAGTGTTGCAGGTAGGTTAGGATTGGTATCAGATGCTATGGCCTGGGAGTTTTTAGCATATTTTTCAAATCTCCCGACAACCCGAGCCATCGACTCAAGGAAAAAGCAACATGTTCTTTGTGTTTCAGTGGTTTTTCACTGGCTGCCAGGCTGCCGAGTTGTTCTTTTAAGGATTTTTTCCAAGTATTACTTTTCTCGAAAGTTGGATGTTGCAAGAGGTGTGCCGCTGCGATGTGGGGCAGAAGTTCTTGGCGAGTAGTGGGGGGTACCTTGGCGATTTGGAGGACTCGAATGCGATTTGTAGGTAATGAGTGGTTCCAAAGAGGACTCAGCAGACCTTGAAACCCTGTGTACTTTGATTAGTATGGTAGATCCGTTTTGAGAACCATCATGTACATGAATTGCCTTTTGGGGGTCAATTCTCAGTCTACATGGATTCTCGCGGCAAGGTTCTACTGTGGCCTTACAACAGAAGGTGGATGGTGCGTAGATCCATGAATTCACTGGGCATCATTCCTAATCTGGATGCGTATGAAACACCTTGAGACACGGGTCAAGACCTGATACCCCCAAACCTGGGGTGTTTAGGTTTGGGAAGTTAGCTACACGTTCTTGATCAAGAACAACTGGGTGTGTATTGTAATAAGGAGATCCCCAAGCAATGGCGTTCGGTCCACGTGTTGTCCTTCTTGAGCGGGTCTTTGGAAGGGTTTCATTAAACACCCACTTGACTTTGCTTGCATCGTTGATCAATACCTGCCGCACGCGCACTTGTCTCGCTCGTGGGACAGTTTCTCCAGGCCCACCCGCGGGAGTGCCAGCTTACTGGTGCTGACCCGCGTTTCCATGTTTTTTGGAGTCAGCCGCCAGAACCAACTACATCTAAGCCTGAAATTATCAGGTGCCACAATCAGCTTTAACCGCCAAAGCATAGAAAGACAATGCATCGAAAACACTTGTTAGCTGGTCCATTTAACCAAAGTCCAAGTCTACTTCGCTGCTTTCACTGGGGTTGACTCCACTTGCGTCCCACTTCGTCACACTTCTCATGGCGCCCCTCTCACCAGCGCCTGCGCTGGCACTGGTCTCGCTGCACTTCTGCTTGGGTCTCGCCTCGGCGGCACCAGGCGAGGAGATGAAGTTGAGATTTGATGTGTGAAATGCATCATCTTGCTGTAATTAACCCCTTTCTATTCGGTTGGGGTTAGCACAAAGGTCTAAAGCCCGGTTGGTTGGGCAGTGATTACAAACCAAGTTCCCATAAAAAGGCTTCAATTTCAGTGAACTTGCCAACCATGCGTCGAACTCTCGAAGTCTACCAGGAAAGTTGGCGGTGGATTCCTATGGACGGCTGGTGCCTGTTCAGGACTGGATCCCAACCGTAGACGTGTTGAACACTCTGGCGACATCTATTGAACATGTTGCTGATTTTGATTGAGAGTACGGCCATTTTGATCGTGAGTTATTTTTGATTGTGATTGAGGGTACGGCCATTTTGATCATGAGTTAACCAACTGGAAGGCTAAGTTGGGTTGTTTGATGTTGTTTGTCCCTTTTTGGTCACACACATTGAGCCAGGCTGCGGATAAGCTCGGGGATTTGCAGGAGTTTTTGTATGTGCTTGATGGTTTTGTACTCTGCACATCATCAGGTAGGTAGGTTCACATGTCCACAATGTGAATTCCCTTACAACCTTGTGTAACGTGTTCGTTCGCTGGATGCAAGACGGCACAACACCAAAAATGGCTCCATTGGTCCCAACTTCAACCACTTCCATGTGATGAAAGAACAAAGCATGTGATGAACAATAACATGGCATGGCATAAACGCATGCTTCGTGATACATGGGGCGCTGTGTGTCTTGGAAGCAGTTCCTCCTGTCCAATGTCCAACAACTGCCACGTTTTTCAGCACCCCAAGCGTCCGGACCCGGACAGGAGCACGTCTCCATCCCATCCGTCCCGTGCGGCACGCCCAGAGTGGGGAACCAACGGCGTGTTCATTGAACGAAGTGGTGGATTCTGGAAAAAAGAAACAATTTCACTGAAGCGTTTGATTTGGCCGATGTAAGTGGATAAGTGGATTACTTTTGGGTAAAGCGGTTGGGGAAACAGAACAAGTTCACTGGAGATTTTGATCAGATATCATCAGTTTGTCACATTGAGGGTTCTAGTTTCTTGGACATTCACGCTTTCCGTGGGGTGATTAAAAGCGGCTTTTTGATGCTTTTTTGCACTGGTTGGTTCGGCTCTCAAAGTACTCTGGAAAAGGGAACCTCACCTGGAATAATGGCTGGTTGTTAAGGCGTGTCAAGTTCTTTGAGCACTCGTTGTGACTGGATTGGAGGAGCCTTAGAATGGATGGTTTTGATTATGGGGTGTAACCGTTCTAGATCTAAAAACGTTGAACTGTTCAAATTCTTGGCCAGTTAACTCTAGACTTCCAGAATGCAACAAAGTAATATACTATGTTCTGTCATGTTCTGTCCTTTTTCTTTAAAAAAGACGACACCAATTCTTTGCCAGGATGAAGACGTCCTCTTCGTCCGCAGCTCTGGAACCGTCTCTCAACCTCCGGACCCCGCCCTCTCCGTCCGCCTCTCCTCAGGGCGATGGCGACGTCCCCGGTGATTCGAAAGGCGACCCGGTGGGAAGGACAGCCATGTCGGTGGGTGCCAAAACACAGAGAACGCGGGGAAGAGCAGGACCTGATGTGCTGTGACAATGTGCTGCAGGTACGGTACAACTAGCCTGGTTCAACTCAACACCAAACAGAAGGTCTCTACAAGATGTGTTGAAAGAAGCAGAGAAAGAATGCCTACAAGTGCCACCTGTGTGGCCCTTGTTGAAGAGTAGAATCGAACCAAGTGATTTGCTGTGGGCCACGGAAGCCACAGCCATAAACCACGATGCGATGCAGAGTTCCAACAATGCCTGATTGGTTTTGTAGTGAGGAACTTCATCACGTCAGTGAAAACCTTCAGATCATTTGTTCAATCGTACAGGGCTCCAAGTTCCTAATCCAAGCCTTTTGGGGTGCAACTCCCTTTGGGATGCTGGAAGGGAAACTCAACAAATTATAAGTTTACCTTGAAGAGACGCAATATCCATCAATATTCACCATGCATGGAAAAACCAAACACAAAAAGAATCCCCACCCTACCAAGCAACACCAAGGAGACCCGCAACACTCGTTTTCAAGTGTCAAAGTGAAATGGACAAGATATGACAAAGGTCACCAGGTCCCAGAAGTCGTAGGGTGTTGGTGCAGAGCATTGGTGCATGCACCATTATTGAATCCATCACTCTCAGCTGACAAGGTTCTAGAAGGCAAGCTTCTGGAACCCTGGAAGAGACCCAATGGAACCTGAAAAACGACTGCAGTCGGTCTTTTTCGGAGGAACATCGTCATCGTCATGTCTGACTCCCCACACCTCGGTTCCATCGTCCCGGCACAAAGTCCGATCGTTCTCTCCGAGGTCGCGAGCCTTCCGGTGCCCACTGACTGGCTCCTGGGCGCAGCCGGGCGAAGCGAGCGGCGCTAGTTGGTCGGTGGGACGTTGTGGTTTGGATCTGGTCAAGAGCTTATGAGTTGTGGTGCGAAGATGTTCAGAGCATTTCAAGGTCCGTATTTCAATCAACATTTCCCTACAAATCCAAGTACCTTCTCAGAAGGTGTTTGGGGTGGGTTTGGAGGGTCCAGGTGCCTTCTGAGGTTCGGTACGACTGGATCTCTAGGGTTTGATATTCAGTGCATCGATTCGGTCAATTTGTCCCATGCGGCATCGGACCCTGCAAATCATGGATATTGTAGACCAGATGCCGTGCCGGCACACACTATAGGCCTAGATATCTTTAAACGGTGAGCACTTGATCGATCCGGTGAAAAAGGTCCAGTTTAGTACAGAAAAACATAGAAAACATCCCCGTGTCCGGTTTGCACTTGAGTGGGTTATTTGTTATTGTTCATGTTTTGTGCATGGTTGCAGGATTGTATAGTGTGACTTTACTTCGCGAACATGTCAGTGGACTACTAGCGATTATAGAAGAAAACAGTCTCCCCAGATGATTCCCATGTCAGTGAGTCGCCGTTTAGTTCCTTACAGACTTGAATCTGCTTGGAAGTTGACCCGGCCAGAGTTTAGTTTGACCGTTTGACCCGTTCTGCGGATTTCTCAGTCTCCTCAGACCATACTGTTCTCACCTTGAGGACAAACAAAAAACGGTTCCACCTGGAGGGCAAAAAACATCTCACTTGGACACACTGGGAGCACTCACCGTAGGACGCACACCCTCTGGACCAAGGCCAAAGCCTTTGCCCAAGGCCAGGAGTCGGACGTGTTTTCGCCGATTGGACGGTGTTGGCGTCGCGGATTGGCCTTGTGGGCTCGCAGAGCTGCTCACTGGGGGTGGGTATTCTAATATAGGGAAGCTCCCAACCAAAGGTCTTGATAGGATGTGTATTAGTTGAGAGACCAACTATAGGGTTGGGTTGGGATTTAGTTTGTTTTATTTTTTTTTGATTCGAAGAGGTCTTGATCGATTGACGCCTTTGGCTGTCAAAGACAAGACACCCGTGGAGGGCATATCATATGGTGCTACACCATTTGTGCAGGCCATGAAGCTCTTGAGATGTGTACAGCTACGAAGGATCTCACAACGCCGATCATCGAGGGCTTGGAGGAAGCTTTGGTGCACATTTGTACCCTTCACATGCCACTCTCCATGCCGCCGTTGGTGTTCACCGAGCTTTATCACTCCAACGTGCTCTATGCTTCCACGACCGGCAGCAGAGGGCTTCTCGGCGCACAGGCTGCAATCTCCAAGAAGCTGTACGGTGATATTTGCTTCACTGATGCTCATTGTGTGCGTGTGCTTACTTTGCAGATTGAGAAAGTTGAGCAACACTGAAAAGCTGCATGTGTGTGTGTCTTTGTGCTCCTCTTCAGGTCATAAAACAGATATGCAACGCCTTGGTGCGATACACCTCCTTGCAGGCAAATCCTAGCAAGTCCTCCTTCAATCCCAAGGGAACTTTGATCTTCAACATCCACGGCTCAACTGATCCAGAACGACATTTCGACCGGCTTTTCAGTGAGATTTGCGAGCAAATGGTAGGCCCAAAGTTGGCCAAACCAATCCTCTCAAAGTCAAAACCAATTCCAGGATTCACATGAAGGAACTCTTCGGGTGCCGGGCACCTGAAGAAAGGAAGGAGTTGGATGCCTATCACATCACACGTACACGGCTGGGTGGGACGAAGCTGTCACCACCCCGAGCTCCATGTGACCTTCTTGACCATGTTTTTTGTGGTCAACCACCAGTGACTCCATCTGACTTTACCGATTTGATGTCAACCCAACTCCATGTGGCTATCCATCTTGTTTGTTTTCCTGCGCGCACCAGGTGCCAGCACCGGACCCAGCACCAGATGCCACGCTGGGGCACCCGGAGAGCGCCCGAAGAGAGTAACGGACATGAAATGGCCAGGGCTCCCAGCACTCAGCTGGACAGTCTTTTTCTTGTAAATGCTCAGTACTGTACAAAAAAAACTATAGAATACTATATAGATTTCAACACACTTCGACATTTCGACATTTGCCACATGGCATTGTGTGTTAGATCGACCCGAATCGGCTGTTTCCCCCCATGTGAGCCATGCTGAAAACCTCCCCCTGCGTAAGCTAAAACTGCGGTCGCGTAAGCTCTGCGTAAGCTTTGGCGTAAGCCAGACATTTCCAGGTTATGTCATATCGATGCTGCGTAAGCAAAGCCTGCAATGGCGTAAGGTGGCGTAAGCAGCGGCGTAAGCAACACCCCCGCGTAAGCTGAAACTGCGGTCGCGTAAGCGCGGCGTAAGTTTTCGCGTAAGGCAGTTCTTACGACATAGGAATCTATCAAGGTTTTCAGCATGGCTCATGTACAGTGCTGGATCTTGCAACACCTTCGCAACCACATGCCACCGGACCCTCAACCCGCTATATATATGTTAGTTTAGTCCAAATCTGGCCATGAGGGTCCTTGAGCCTTTGGGTAGGACATGTTTGGTTTGAGATACACTCCTGATGTTGCCTTCGGTGGAGTGGTAGCAAAGCTGTTAATATGAAGGCCTCAACCTGGCTATGGCTATTTTTGACGGTTCTGTCTTACCTAGGACCTATGATTAAACAAATATTTTGTTTATATAAAATATATAAATATCTTGAGCAGATTATATGTTACAGTGGTGATGTGCATGAGAACCTTCGATCTGTGGCCCCTGCGTTTGATCCCGAGAGGCCAACAATTTCAAGGTCGCGGGTTTGAACACTTCCGCCCATGTTAAATGTGTTTTGTTTTTTTTATTCCGGACATACAGGCCTTTCAAGGTCCATGATCTGAATCGATATATACAGTAGATCGACTCATGGCTCAAACGAAAGGAATCAACGGAATAGACACATTCCTTGTTGGAGGTTGGATGGCACCCCCACCCCTCCTGCTTCAAAGGCATCGCCACGCCGCCACCGTGGCGGACGGGAGCCGAGGCCCGAGCTCGCCCGAGAGGCGCGGGAGTGTGCATCCCGCATCCGGCGGCCGGACGGGGATTGGTCTGGGGTGATGGGGGAGGTGATGCATGGAAAAGTGGGTGGATTTGTCTCCAAAGGGTGCATTTTGTAACCTCTCATCACCCAGTGGAAGTGGGTCACAGTATCCAAAAGTGGATCTGCGGGTTGGTCTTCAAGGCCTTAGGGGTGGTGCCACCGGTGGATGTTCTGGAAGAAGTTGACCAGTGAATGCTGCAAAGCAGATCTCTAATCTGAATGTAGGATGGCCCCTCTTTCCATCAGTTGAGTTAAGATGACGTGAGAGTGCCACTTGTAACGCAGTGCCCGCTGGTATTGCGACATGTTTTCATGTCGTGACGTGGGGGCTATCCCAGAATGAAGGTGATGGTTGTAGGCCTAGATGATCCTACATGTGATTTACATGTGACATGTGTTGCTCTCCCTTTTCCCCATATCACTTATTCGGTATTTGGTTCTTTTGCTTTAGGAAGCCCAAACCTGCTGCAATGCTGGCCACATACTCTTCGACTCTGTTGTATCAACTGCGTCAGCGTCAGCCCGGTCAACATCGGTCCCAGTCAGTTCGGTCAACATCGGGGCGTTCAGTTGGCGACTGGTGCAAGCAGCGACTTGTCCACATATGGTTTTCCTGTATGTTTTTGAAACACAGCGACTTGTAGCCTTCCCAGACCCAGGGTTAATGTCATCCATTTGCTCGTTCATCTGGCTGCCTTCCCATGCATGGGTAAGGCAGCCATAGACTCCCTGAACTCACCATGGGCCAACGTGCATGGCCCCGAGGTTGGATCACCATATTCTGGAGACCAAACAGGCGAAAACAGGTGGTGCCATCCACTTCCCAAGTAAAACATGATGTCCAAGAAGGGGAAAGCCTACCCCTAGGGAAAACAACAAAACAATACATCACCGGCAAAACCAGGTCCCCATTTGTTCGTCGCCGGTTCGGGGTCGTGTACGGTTCGTGTACATCTCCGTGTTTCGTGCCACGAGGCTCAGATCTCACGGACGAATTCGCAGGGACGCCAAGAGGAAAGGGACGCGTCTCCTGGGCGACTGGTAGCAACTTGTGCGACCCGATTGGTGGGCTCAGTTGAAACTGGTCCATCTATCCAGCTGTCTAGGTACGTATGATACGTGTACTTATATCTATTTCATCTCATGTATACCACAACCAAACGCCAGTGCATATACCATTATATTTGTTGGCTTACATTCACTTTTCAAGAGACTCAAAGTAACTGTCGTGTGTCGTTTTCCTGGGGGATTGTGACCACCCTTTGTTTTTTGAGCCGCCACCTGGAGACCTGGACACCGAAACTCCGATGTGGAGGCACAAAGATTCGTCGGACCGAACATGGGTTCCATACAGATCACCTGGGATGTCTTCCATACGACATAGACTCGTTTTCGACAGGTGATCTTTTTTGGAAAACTGGAGACGACTGTTCCAGTCTTCACATACTAACTCACATCAACGTACATTCCACATATTTTTCGACATACTTTTTGGGGTGACTGAAGGCAGTGTTGTGAGCTTTGCGTGTTTGTTCAGAAAACGGGCCTAGGTTGGCAAAGGAACATGTAGTCGGGAGTGTTGATTCTTTCTCCAGCAGTGTTCAAGCAGTTGACTCACAGGCCAGCAGGACCTTTTCGCAAATCAACATGTTGACTTGCAGAATGTTCAATCGATAGAACAAGGGACAATAAGGGCTATGACTATGACCATCTTCAGCTGTGTGTTTCTCCAGGTTGTATCAGTATAGCATTCAGGAATCAGGATGATCTATGCATGAGCCAGTATATGTTATGAGGTCTCCTTGGCAGTATTTGTTCACTATTACTTCTTTCACCGCAGATAGGGGTCGAGTGGGATACCAAATGACAGGACTTGCTTGTGCTCGTTGAAACAAAGCCACAGAAGTCTTTGCTCTGAACTGCAGCCAGCTGCTCAAGCACGTGGAATCTGATTGTAAGTTTATTGTGATACTGCGCCTGTGCAACAGAATTTGCGCTCCAAGCCTGTTGGAATAAATGCTGCAGTTCCATGATGTAGAAGTGTCCCACCCCCAATCCCACCCTCAACTGATTTCCAGTGCACCTCTAGCTTTGAAGATCATAACTCAAGAGCCAGACCACTGGGTTTCAGAGAGAAAAACAGGGACGAACCACTGTGAAACTCAGTGAAGATCCCCTGTGTTTCTCACGGAACGTCCGGACGTTTCGGCCCTTCGGAGACGGACCGCCATGGCCGAAATCTGCGGACCGCCGTGAGACCCTGAGATGGCGGAGGTGCGAGAAGCTCTCGAAGACGTGTGCCAGAAGCTGAAGTGCCAAGGACCAGGGGCCGGCTTCCAGGCAGCGGATGGCAACTGGGCGAACTGAGCATGACAGAGCATGACAGAGCTTCAGGATAGCCATACGAACATTTACGAACCAAGTCTCCAAGTCATTGGCGCGCATGATCTGGAAAACAGCCACCCACCTGGATTGAGCTTGCGCGAACATGTTGTGCTGGGGTGTATGATAATACAGTTCATTTGGAACAGCTTAGAGCATATACCTTGGCGTTGACCTACGGTCAGCAAACAAATATCAGACTTGTCGGCGATTTCTACCCTCATCATCCAAAGTCGCATGTGGTGATGGATGAAGTCAAACCACAGCTGCATTGCCTTTCACATATCTCAGCGGTTTCAGGGTAGCACACATCACGTATCGCGTATCACACTTCACCACCTCGATCTGGGGTTCATCTACCACCAGCTATAGGTGTTGTGCAAGAAGTTAACTTCCCCTTATAACTGCTGAATTTTCATGGAAGTGGATCCTTCTGCACGCAGGAATTCTTGTGGATCCCAAAGTACTTCACCGTGCTAAGCAGAATGATTTGTCGGTGCTGCCTCAGATGTGGGCCCTCATCATAGATTTATTGAAGCTGGACCAGGCCCCGTCACTGGATGGAGATGGAGTCAACAAGTGCTGAAGCACAGTTGTCCCATCTGCTATTAACATCTTGGGTTTGTTTGCTTGAGATAGTCTTATAGTTCTCCTGTCAGACTGTAACCCTAGGACATGTTTCCAGGTTCATGGCAAAGCCTAGACCTGGCATGACATGGCCACCCTGACAAAACAGAGCGTGTTGGGATAATGTTCGATCGGGTGTTGTTGTGTTGGTTTCGGGTAGATGTGTTAAAGGCTTCGTTGGGGACCAGGCAGAAAGCCTGGGTGTGACACGTGTTTTGTAGGGGCGCTGTGCGCTGTTGGAAGAAACCTGAGTAAACGAACATGGTGAAGAGGAAGGTGGCAGGGCAGAAAGGGTATTCATCCGGAGGTTTTCTTGCCAAACCCCCCAGCCAAAGATTTGTACAGAGTTTGTGGGTTCCTATGTGTTTCTATGTGGCTTGTCGCGGGTTGCAGTTGTTTCGCCAGTGCATCTCACCGTCTACGACGGCCACACCTGGTGACCAGCGGCACCAGTGCAGGTGGTCACCGAAGGCACCGCTGCGGTGGAACAGTTGGGCCTGTTGGGGTATCCCCGAGTGGAAGAACTGCAGACCGACGCATCAAAGCCGCTGGGCTTTCTTCTTCGTTTCGTCGAGGTCGAAATCGCCCGCCCCAAAAAAACCATCCCTCGCGGAATGAGACTGCCTCTTCCCATTCTGCCATGCTGCCATGCGAAGGACGGAGTGCCGGTTCCGGCCGGTTCGGAAGGAAGGACGGATGAGACTTGCAGGGGAGACCCGGACCGTCGCTTGCGAAGGGAAAAGCATAATGAGGAAGGGAGCTATATAGAGGATCTATGGGGAAAGAAAAACCAGCTGTAAGGAGTTTCCCAAGTATATTCCAGATGGGTTGATCGGTTGATGATGTTTTCTGTTTGGTGGGGGACTCTTTGCGATCTTCTATGACCACTGTGACTTTCTACTTCCACTCCAACCTTTCCGTCCGTCCATCCGTCCATCCGTCCATCCTTCTCAAAGCTCAGGTCCAACTCTGGCCTTATGGGTCCTGAGCTGCTTTTGTCTTTCGCTTTCCTTCTGGATCACTTGAAGCTGATGGAGCCATCCCCTCGAAGAGTCCCGATGCGACTGCCACCCTACCCGCAGGATATCTCAGGTGAAAGTGCCAAAGAGGAGAACGTGGGAACGTGCAGAGAGAAGAGCAGGAATGTCTCCGTGCATGCGATACTTCAGCTTCATACAAAGTACCAGAACACCATGCGCCGCTTGCAGGGCTTGGAGGCAGGTTCTGGTGTAGATTCATCACCAAGTCTTTGTGTGTTCGAGAGAATAAGCCTTTTGGGAAAGCTCTAGAATGAGTAGGTCAGCCTCACATGTACGCCCTGGCTCTCCCGAAATTATAGACAGGACATCTCTCCTTGTCTTAAGACGACATTGGAAAGCACAAATGGACCCAGACACTCCATGTATGGGGTGGTCGAGGGGTCAATTGATTGATCGGCTATATATGGCAGTCCCATTAGTCGTGTCTGGACGATGAACATCTCAGACTCAACGAATCTAAACAACGCCGGACCGACCGACCTTTTTCATGGTCCGTAATTCACCCTACCGCCTCGATATTCACAAAGATGGCGCCATGCATATACCTGGCTGTACAAGACAAATCACCTTTGAAACCGCTACTTTCGCGAGATTTTGACGGGGGAAGACGAAGACAGAACCCCTGTCAGGTTCATCGTTTGCAGCTGCTCCATGTGCTTCAACAGCTGGGCCGACAGCGCTTAGAGTCGGAACACGTGGGAGAAGGCAAGAAGTTGAAGACTCCACCCACGCAGTACGTGACTTGGGAGTTCAACCCGAATGGGAGGGGAGTCGGCCGGAGTTGGAACGCTGAGAAAGAGGCTTAGCGCAGGGTTGGTTTGGAGTTGGCCGCAGGTGGATTCGCCGATCAGAGCGGCCGGAAATGGTGGTGTGGTGACGTTTTCCTTCGATTTCCAGGCGTCAACATGCTCAATTGAGCCATGGAGGATGAGAGACAGAGAGGTCTTCTGGGGTTGGACAGTGCTTAGAGGTTGGTGAAGGGAAGCAGGCAAATGAAAGACTTAGATGATGTGCTTAAGCTGTTCGCCAGCCCATTCGAATTTCTCATTTTTTGTCTATACTATGAGCTGTGCCAGGATTTCAGGCTTGGGTTCTCGATTCAACCATACCTGGCTTGGGACCCCGGGAATTCAACTTCGTTGGAGGAAACTTGGACCAAGAGACTCATGACTCATTACTGCTGGACACACCTTAAGGAGAACCCACAAGAATGGGACTGAATGACTTCGGGAGTGTCAGCTGATATCAACTGTTACTTTCTCGGAGATGAACGAAGAATATCCCGCGTTTGTGCGATGGGGCTTTGTTTGCACACTCGATTCTGTGGATTTGTTTACGTTGTTTAGATCGGTTCCGCTTAACGAAGCTTCCACGCCTTTGACTGAACAGATACCAAGAGGAAATGACCTACCAAACAGACAGTATCAGATGGTCAATCAATTATTTGAATATCCCGTGTTGCATGTGCACAGAGCCTGCAGATTTCTTTGTCAGAATGTCAGAGTGTGTTTGTTTTTCTGAAATTCACACAGACGCCAAGAATCCCCTTTTTTTGTTTTTGTTCGTTGCCTCAGCTTGCTAAGCTCCACAAAAAAAACTGCACCACCACCCGCCCCACCCACCCCGGCGCCAAGCCAGTGTCCTTTCAGCCTACTTACTTCGGCGCACACCACTTCTCGGGTGTCACTCCGCGTGTCCACGGCATGTCGCTCCGCGTGTCCAGGGCATGTCGCTCCGCGTGGAAGGCGTCGGTCCGTCGGGCGTTCGTGAGGAGTTGTTTGTCTTGGAGCGTCCAAGACTTCTGCAAAGCCACTTGGAGGATCTTCAAGAGCACCTGCAGATCACCCAAGGCCGCCTGGAGACGCGAGTCTTTGAGTTCTTTCTTTTTGGGGGAGGATCCTCCTCGATGGAGTGCTGAAATCATCCAAGCAGATTGAAAACTGCCTCATGTCGAGGTCGGATGAATCACCCTCCCCCCTGATATATAAGGTCAACAAGGTTTGAGATTGGAGTTATTGGAGACCACATCCCCTGAATAGTGATGACCTGATGATGGAGTACCTTAAGGCCATGGGGATCATGGTAGGGCCATGAGGATCAGGGGCACCCTTTGGGAGCTTGAAAACCTTGAGATGGACAATGACAATACTTTGGCTATAGGATAGGTTTTGGGGAAACGTTCTTCAGACTCCAGAGAGTGTCGTGACATCAGGAACCAATTACAAACCCACAGATCCTTAGGCTGCTCCGACCAGCTGGACATGTCGTTGGCTGCTCACCTATCTCAGACTCCTCCGGGACCGCGAAAAATCCGCCGAAGCGATCGCCGGCCTCGCGTGGCAGTCTTAGGTCTGAAGCACCAAGAGGTCTTTTGGCGTTGGATGGGATTCTCAGCTGAGAACTTCTTCTTCACAGAAATCTATATGGGACCTGACCTGATGTGTTTGAACTTTCTTGGACTGGTCCGTGTGAATGGGGGCGTGGCATGATATACAGTCCATACAGCATAGATACATGCATGGATACATGCAGGAACGTTGACCCTGACATTGTGTTGCTGTTCATAAACTGTTAGCAGAAGCTAGCTTATCTTCAGTTATCTTAATGTGTTTATGTGTTTAATGTTAGACTTATCTTATTAGACTGTTAGCTAATGTCGACATTAAACATGTTGTTAGTTATCTTCAGTCTAATGTCGCAAGCTCGGATTGTGAAGTCGTGTTCACAATCGCAGCCAATCTGGTCTGGGTGATTGGAGGGTCCAATTCTACCCCTGATATTGGATTCTTAAAAGCTCAAATGTGCAGAACAATGTAGACTGTTGATGGTTTCAGAACCAGCAGAACAATATGGTTTCTGAACGTTTCTCACATCGGATTGTTCAATTCCGATGGTTCAGAACAATGTATATCGATTGTTGATGAATAAATTCCACCAGGCCTGGAGATGTAAAGCAATTCGTTCTCAACAGTCGACACATGCAGCTTTGTTCACAAACATCAACTTATAATGAGGATAGGCTGTTGGATTGCACTCGGTTTCGTAGATGGCACCACCTCTTTGGTATTTGGACAAAAGATGGAAACCTGAGATCACCATAATGATCCTCCCATCCCAAGCCATGTTCCATCCCATCCCATCCGCGAGATCGTGCAATTCGGCGCTCAGGATCTGTCTTGCGGTCTGTGACTGATGCCAGCGCCGCGGCCCCGCAGCCGGGGTCCACTCGGTCGACAGCCAAGGAGAGTGCGAAGGAGTTGCTTGTCAGTGGGTGGGGGAGTGCGAGCAAAAGGATTTAAGTTGTCCCATGAGCCATTTGCCATGCAAAAACGAACATTTAGGGAATACGTTTGGGATTCGGTATTGGACTATCAGGTTGTTCTGAGTTCAGCCAAACAGTTCTCCCTTTTGTGACCTTTGCGAGTTGAGCGACGCCGCCCCGCTGAGGTCCGCCCCGCGCGTGCAGCGGCCCGCGAAGACTGGTGACGATCGCTGCGCGTCGTTTCAGAAGTCCTTGGAGCGTTTGAAGGCGGAACGACGACGACGGGGGGGGTTGAGCGGGGCGGCGTGGGGGTGACGTGGTGCGGGGAAATATAATATAGGTCTTGATATAGGTCTGAATACGTCTTTGATGATCAACTTGGATGGCTGAAAAAGATGTTCAATGTGTTCAATCAATGGGTTTCAATCTTGACTGGCTTCCAAAGACAGAGAGTATTGGATGGATCATGGAGAGAGGGGGGGCAGGGCATGATGCCCTTGGGGCATGAACTTAGTTCCGTCTGGCTTTGATATGGCAACCCCCCTCTGCAGAGGACCACAGACTATAACCGCCAAAACCACGTCGGCGCTTGTAATGGAAGACCCAGCCACCATGGGCGTGGGGGTGTCAAGTGGTTTCACTGGTACTTTGTTTGTCCAGCCACCTTGCGTGATTCGGTTCAAGGCTTGTCAGTGCCCCTTTGAGTAGTCCTTTGAGTGTGGTTAAAATGATTTGGGAAGAGATCTGAATGGATAAGGTTGTCAAGATCAAGTGGCAAACAAGGTAAGGATCAGGATACCGTTGCTCTGGAGCTCTATTTCTTGAAGCAAGGGACCTCTGATGCCCAAAGGTAAACTTGTTCAATGAGCGGTCGTTTTTTCCTGGTCGTTGTTCTTTCCGAATACCAGCAACCTTCAGTATGTCCTCATGGAAAAAAGATCTGCAGAAGGGACATGTTTGTGCTTTGACCACTTGGAGGTGGAGGCTCCCGAATTTCCTCTTGGGATTCGATATGCACGTTTCCGGGATCCAGCCTGTGTGGACGGGTGTGGAGGCTGAAGATTTCTCATCTTTGAGCGGCGAGGAAGGCACACCTCCTAGACTGTCAGGGGTCCCCAAAGCAAAACCTCTCAACACAACGGCTCCAAAGTTGTCCTTGGTAATATTGTTCTCCTGATTTGGACCATTTGGTGACGTGACTTAAACATATACCAGCACCTTCCAAAGGGTTCACCAATGGAAACCCCAGCCCACCACTTAGGGATCTCATGGGATCTCCATTATCAACACCCCTTGAAGGTCTATAGGCCTATAGGTACTTAGTGTTTGGCATCCCATGACATCCCATGACCACTCAGCGGCTCGGACGTGTTCTCTCGTCGTCGAGTCAAGAGGCGCATGAGAAGAGGCCCGAACTCAGAGAGAGGTGGCAACTGCACAAGTCTTTGCCGGAGGAGATCCAGCAAAGCTTGACACTTGGTGCTTGAAATTGAGCGTCTCGGGCAGAAATATCGCAGATGTGTACAGATCAGGCCAACATGAGTTAATTAGGAAGCTTTAGGTTGCTTTTTCTTCGCAGTGAGTGACATGAGAGTTATCCGTATGATGATGTTTACCGTAAATTCTTTTGAATTGTGTAGGACATGTTACTTCAAAGTGTGACGTTCTTTCTCTTGAAAACAATTTATGTTGTTTTGCGTGTGCATCCAGGAGAGTGGAACTACACCGCCTGGGCCAAGCCTTCGATGACCTCCTCCCATCCCCCTGGAAGACGCCACCGACGGCACCGCCACGGCCTGAACGGCCGACCCTGCGAGCCGAAGCCGCCCGGGCGTCGGCGCTTGCAAGTCGAGGCGTTCTGCAAGAGGTGGCGGAGGTGCGAGAACGCTGCTGGGACGAAGAGGTGGTCGTGGCGTTCGTGACCCTTTTGTGGTGGTTCGTGGTTAATTGCGGGTCGTTCCATGGTCGCGTGGCCGAGCCGCGTGCACTGGGTGCCTGGCACTTCAAATGGAGTGAGAAGAATGGATATAGAAAGAAGATAATTTTGTCGGGAAATACTATAGATTCAATTACTTCATTTGATCATTGATACTCGACTAAACATTATATGTTTTGTCATTTGGTGTATTTCGACAGAGGGGCGCACCCTCTACCTTGTTTTCTTTCCCTCCGCCAACTTGAGGCACGTCCATGTGAGGTTTGACAGTGTAAGGTCCTTGTTTGTTGATGGTTAGGCTGATTGATGGAAGTTGCCTTAAGCATCCTGAGTCAGTCTGGACAAGGCGAAGGCCCCAGGGTTCCGCTTGACATGTCCTCAGGTCACAGAGTCTTATAGACTAGGAATCTTTTACTACTACCGTCTTAACAGTCTTCACAAAACCAGGATGACCCACAAGACCAAAACCACTTTCTATCAATCCGGTCCCTCAACATCCCTCACCCACACAAATGAGTTTGTTGGATGCTTTGGATGCTTTTCTTCGGGTCCATTTCCCCTGGAATCACATTGGAGATATCGCTTTCGAGGATTCGACTTAAGATGAACCGCTACGTACCCACTTGCCCAAGAGAGGTTAAGTGACTGGAAAAAGGACCTTTCACCTTTAGGTACCTTCAAGGGATAGTCGAACTAGGGTTCTTCAAGGTGCTTCAACCTTTGGTGAGGGATCGGAATTCAGGTTACTCCTTGGCCTCCCAGCGCTGGTCTGCACAGCGCAGCTGCGCCGAAGCGAAGCTGGAGCAACTCCTCTCGTCTGGACCCGCCGGAACAGCCGGATTGTCTGCGGTGTGGACGGTGGGCGTCAAAGCTGCGGAAAAAGAAGAGCGACAGCGGATGAGAATCGTTGGGAAACACATCTTTTGTGGTGGTAAGCATGTGGGTGCGGGGATGGTTTTAAGAGGCTTTTTGAGAGGGGATCAAGTGTATCCAGTAGAACTTTGATGAGGGTTCTTTGGCTTCCCCACTGGTGCCAAGATGGACGATGATTCTATAGGAAGTCCACGAGTCCAGCGACATTCACCAAAGCCAAGGCCTTCGACAGCTCCTCCCCTGCATCTTCCCGAGGCAGCATGGGGAGGGTGGCCGATGAACGTGGTTGAAAACATGGTTTTCCTGAGAGTCTAGTCATTTAACCATATGTTACCCGGTACCCCTGTGGTCGTGGATTATGACTGGCAGCTGGTGTATAACTCATGAGTCATTGGAAGTTCCGGTTTTGAGTCCCTAAAGGCTTTGCCCACGACTAGGGGGGACTCGGACCTGACTTATCTTCAGCTGACTTATATATCCACCTCACATCCAACTTGCATTCAATCTAAGAACCACTTTCAATAATTGATCATGACACACCGTAGATGTCAGCACAGCGAGGACGACCTCTTCACAAGATGTCCCGCTCTCCATCCATCAACTCAAGACACCCATCCAACAACTCAAGACACCCATCCATCAACTCATCCTTCTTTTTGAGTCGGTCCATATCCACGTGTCATCTGATGTGCTTCGTGTCAGAGCAGTTGCTTTGGAGGCTGCTGATTCATCTCAGCTCCCTCCAATCATGGAAGTGGATGGCATGGTCTTTCCACCACGTTTCCCCAAATAGATAGGATAAGTAGTGCATTGGATATCGTTTCTATCTATTTTGGGGATCACTAGAAACAGGAAAAAACAACAGTGTTCGTCATGGATCTTTCGGATCGTCCACGAGCGACACAAGACACGAACGAACCGAAAAGACCTAAGGCCTTGACCGACCTCGGGTGGTGAGTGCGCCTTGACCGCCTTGACGGGTGATTTTCTCATGTGTTGGTCCAGCAAATCCCACGTCGCTTGACCTGATCTCCGGGAGAACCCATGTATTTTGATAGGGAGAACCCCATGCCGGTAGATGGCCCGGACACCACTAATTAATGGAACTGCCATGATTATGCCGATCAATTGACCCCCCCAAAACCACCCCGATGTAGGCATATATGGCAGTCCCATGGAGTGTCTGGGATTGGCCAATTGACCCAATGCCAATGTCGCCGTGGAGGCACCACCCAGCGACGGCTGTTTCTCCAGCACCGCCGTCAGGCTGCACACATCTCCAGCGCGCCACTGGGCGACGTGCGGGTTGATCTTCTGGGAAGTGACGGGTGACGGCGCAGGTTTGTCCAGAGGCTCATGAACCAGAACCAACTTCTACATGTTCACTCGGGCCAAAAACCCTTTCGTTGTGAACGGGGTTGGGTCCTAACTCTAAGCATCTAGCCTTTCTGAGGATGCACTCTGCAAAAAGGACCATCAGTCATTTGCACTCTGCAGAGGACCACATGGAACCCCAAAGGCTTGGTTTTCGGAAAACGGTCTTCCACCACCACCAGTCTTTCTTCTCATGGTTCCATGATGTTTTGCGGGGGGGTACCCAATATATAGCCCAGACACTCCATGTATGGCATAAATGCCTACATTGAGGTGGTTGTGGGGGTCAATGTAGGCGTATATGGCATACAATACATGGAGTGTCTGGGTAGGCTCGATGTTTTGGAGCTGTTCTCACAGTCGTCACAGTTCAGTGGGTGACGTGAGGATCGAATTGGCGACAGAATTTGGATCAAGGGCGTTGTAGGTCCGTAGGTGTGTGCACTCAGAGATGTGCAATGTTCCGTTCACCGTTCGCAGGCTGTTGAAAAATCCTGGGGATCTAATACTAGACATACATATAATATCATTGGATCGGATCATGAACAAACATCAAAAGATCTTCACCAGAACAGGAAACACATGCTGCTCTTCCTCCCTCCAAACTTCTGGTGATTTCGCCAAGAAGGCAGCACTAAAGTCGAAGGATACAACATGTTTCAACCACCGACATTGAAGGATCCCGCTTTGAAAACATGGAACAGATCTTCCATGTGAAACAACCTTGTGAAACCACATATATATAAGGATGAATTGAAGCTGAAACTGAAGGATCCAACCATCTCCAACCTCGACTGTCTGGTGCTTAGTAGGGAATAAGGGAAGAAGTTTCGCCCCCAATAGAGATTCTATTGGATCCAGCCACCCACACAGCCACCCTGCGAGACCGTCGCACCCGTCCGTCGAAAGTCCGACGCCTCGACGTCGACGTCACGGTCTCGAGGCCGGTGCATGGTACCGATCTGCTGGTCTTGACCTCGGGAGCCTTCCTGCTGCCGGCGCATGTCTCGGGGCGTGCGGGCTTGCAGTGGTATGGCCGCACGGCTGGGAAGCGAAGCACGGTGAGGTGAGGTGGCGAGGTGAGGTGGGTCTGATGGTGATGGTTTGTGGATTGAGGAGATGAGGATGGTGTGCCAAAGTCTGCCAGCTTGGGGAGATCTTGGGAGTTGGGGAAAATCTTGTTCAGTTGGGAGTTGGTTGAGTGCTGGGTGGGCTGGCTACGTGGTTGAATTGGTCGAATTGACTGGGAGTGTTTCATACTCGGACACGGACACGGACACACGCTCTCTCTCTCTCTCAGTCAGCCTCCAAATGCCTTCGTTTTGCTTCGCTGGGCGTGAGATAGGTTTGGAGGGTCGATTGGTATACCTTCTGAGAAAGTAGGACTGGAGCCCTGGAGGTTGATATTCTTGAGTGGGCCATTGCCTCCAACAACTCTCTTGCCGCGCACGTATCATCACGCATCTACAGGCTGATACAATTTCCTTGCTACCCAGCCTGGTGCAGAAATGACTGAAACCACAGCTTTATTGTCAGTATTGTTTAGCATGTTTAGCTGTTCCCTGTTATTCCCTACAGGTTTCGTTCTTACCTTCCTTCCCCCACATGTGTTCCTGGTGCAATGTTTGATTCACTTGAACCTTTGGATCCATCATTCAGATACATTCAGATATATTCAGATCATGTGTTTTTCTTTGTCTTTGAACTTGTTGGTATCATCAAGAGGAACGATCCTCGGAGAACGACTGGGTGACAATGTTCCGATGTGATGATGGTTCACCCCGGGAAGTGAATCTTTCATGATTGTTATAATATCTAATATCTTATATAGTATTTCATATAATATTAGATCTAGAGAAAGAGAGAGAGATAAAACATAAAGCAAACAAGCACACACACAAAATGGAATATAACTTAGTGTTTGCTTGCTATTCCTAGGCTTTGCCAATTCATCTTCAAACCAGTTCCGGAATTCTCGCCCCTTCTCACTCGTCCCCGAGGCATGATCTTCTCCCTGCAGGCGCCAGTCGGTCCGTCTGATGTGGTGAGATGTGGGCGAATTGTTTGGAGCCTTCCAAGTAGAGCGAAAGTATAGCCATCCATCTCTTTTCAGACCAGTAGACCTTCCAAGTAGACCTTCCATAGTTTAGAACCTTCCAAGTAGACCAGTGTTGTATAGCTTCAGATGAGCCATCCATCTCTTACTCTCCGTCTGACCTGACGTCGCGTCCGTCGGTTCGCCGCACTTGCGTTCACCTCTTCCCCGTCGTCGCGACGACGACGACGACGACCGTCCGGAGAGGCGTTGATCTGCGGTGTGTATCACTACTGCGACCAACATCGCGTGGGCACTGAGCTGAGTGGCCCCGTGTGCTCGGAGACCAGCTACCGCAGCTCGGAATGTAGAGGTGGGACAGTCCTCCGGCCACCTGCGGGATATATATATATATACCTATAGGTTGCATGGGTTGGATGGGTGGTTTATGCCACTACAGGAGAAAGAATAAGTCGTTAGAAACTCATAGGCTACTGTTTGTCTATTTGCCACCTGTGGGAAGTATGTTGATTTGTCAGAGTTACCGCTGTTCTTACGAGTGATTGGGAGAGGTTTCAGAGAGATGTCAGATTTCGGTCGTGAAATCCGTGACATCAAACGTTTCACCACCCCAATGGTCCGGTGTGCACACCAGACGTGGACAACCACCAGACGTGCTTGTCCCATTCTGCTCCGGTGAACATCGGTGAACAACGGGGGGGCCCAAAGCGGCTGAAGCCGGCGCTTGAGGGAGTAGCGTGTCAGCGTGTACCAAAACGATGGAAGTCTGCCATGCTGTGTTCATTGGGACCTTCTGGGACCACTTGATACTCCAAACAATGGCATGAGACAGGCATATTTGCCAATCAGTTGGGGTGGTGTAAAAGGGGTCAATGTAAGTAACATTAAGTAACTCTAGTCCCATGGAGTGTTGGGGTACTATTGGGACACATGCCCGGCCCAAAAGGGAAAGACTTTGAGTTCTACTAGCTTAGCAACTGATCTCAGTTTGTTGGGGATACTCAGGTCTAGTCCAAGTGAAGAGACCCATGATTGCTCGCCACAGCGGCAGCCGAGTTTGTTTCTTTGGGCACCTTGGAAGTGCTTTCTTTTCCGGAAGGATCGGGGGTGCGATTGGTCGGCCCAATGAAAACAGCCTCCCACACCACTTGTGAAGCAGGTGGACAACCACGAGAAGACCAGAAGACATGGGTGCTTCATAAAAGGAAGTTTGCTTACTTCTCCAGTGGTATATGTTCCACTGGTTTGGCGCCCAAAGTGGATGAATTTTGACACTGCTGGGTCTTTGCATGTTGGTCTTGGCCAGTTTGGCCGAGCTGGGACCAAGCCGCTTCAGCCGCTTGGACCCGAGCTTGCCCGAGGCTTTTGGCACCTGTCGGACCACGGCATGGCATACTTTGTACCTCAACCTGTACGGTGTCGCTGGACGGCGGCGCCTGGTAAAAGGGATGCGCCGGGTTTGAGGACGGAGTGATCTCACCGATCCATTCAGATGATTTACAGATCAACCAACCAGAGTCGTAGTTGAACAGGTTTATGGAGAACAATCCAGGTAGTTGAACAGGGGTGTGGAGATATGTGGAGATCAATCAACCAGGTTGTCCAGACCGGAAGCCATGCTTCCACCCACCTCTTTGGTGTTCAAAAAGAACAGCCGGCTCCCGAGGTCGTGCGGTCGCGTCCGTCGCCAGGTTCATGAACACGAAGCTCCACATGAGCAGAGCATGTGCAATTTGTAGACCCGCTTTCTTTTCAATCTGGGCAACGAGAAGAGGACATTGAGCCATAAGTGGTGTGTGTTTCATAAGTGGTGTTGCCCCTGTTTTCTGTAGCAAAACAGATGATTGGACGGAGGACGAGGGCCAGAGCACCATATGGTGTTGATGTTCGGAAATCCTGAGAGACTCAGAGGATGGTGGAGTGACCTTGCTACGACGGACCCTGCCAGTTCCTAGACCCTCTATGTTCCGCACTGAGCTCAGTCATTTGATGCCACAACGGCCCAAAAAAGAGACACATTCAATGCCATGGAGTCTTTCACCCCATCAGTGCGTTCCGTATGTTTTTTGGTTTTAGACATTTTACGGAACTTGCCCTTCTGTAGACGCCTGTAGAAGCCATTCACTTCAACGAATTGGTTGGTACATTTACAAGATTAATGTTTGTCAACTTGACTGACCATGACTGCTGGGTATTGGTACCCACACCCTCAACCTAGGGTGTACCCCACTACCAGTAACAGTCAGTAAACGATTTATCACTATTCTAGAGAATGGCCTGCAACTGAACCATCATCATCCACTTTACTGGTAATGGGAATATACCCAACATTCAATTAACGCAACCATCCATCTCACATTTGTAAGGTCTCTAGTGCTCGCTCCGCTTGGTTAAGTTTGCCTGCCATGGTATGGTAGGCCCAGAACAATTGGTGAACCGGTTTTTGTTTGGATGCGATGTTGGACCCACGCAGCTTTTGACCTTCGATCAACGAATTGACGAGGTTCTTTTTGTCCATCCGCAAGGGCAGGACCACATGTTTTGAGGTCAACAATTGTTTTGTTGTTTAATCATTGTCAACTAACAGTTATTACTTTTTGGATATTGTCAACAATGGTTTTGATATGGTTTGATGATTGCAATATTATGTTTGTTGGTGTTCCACCTTGTGTCCACCAGATTCATCGTGGACCAACATATAACTTGCGCCTTGCGACCGAGGTCATGCTCCAGATGGGCTTTCTGCTCCTGGGACCTGAAGATCCTATGCTCCGTCGTGTCTGGGAAGCAGGGAGAGGTCGGAGTCGTCGGCGGGTCGGGCGAGGCAGAGATTGGCGGGTGTAGCCCACAGTCCCTGCAACAGTCCGGTAAACAAGAACATCCGGCCTGCAACTGAACCATCATCATCTACAGGGAATAGAATACACCCAACTACTAGTAAGTGAGAAGAAGAGGGATACATAAGAATCAAACAATTACTGTCCCAGGTATCCAACTACCTTCTCAGGTACGGTGATTGGAGACACTCTCATAGGTTTTGCAGGGTCCAGTCGTACCGAACCTGAGGTTCGGTATGACTGGATCCCTACATTGTCATATATTAACCCCAAACTCCATGGGACTGGGATATGTCTCACATGAACATGAGGCTTTCGGGACCAGGAACTTGGACCTGGGCCTGTCTGGAGCTGAGGGGGAGAGTTGTCTCCAAACACGCCATTTACCCATGTTCTTGGGGGTGGTGGAAGTCCCAGGGGTCAATGTAATTATATATTCCAGGATTCCAGTCCCAGGGAGTGTTACTACGGTCCAGAACAACCGCCCCCCTTTAGGGTCCAAACAACACTCGATGTTGGGGTCTCCTGGTTGATATCAGACGTTATATAGACCCCACACGGCCACGCACCCAGCACAGTAGATGGCCTGAATACATCTCTCCTTCACCCAAAGCCACGTGCAAGCTTTAAACCAACCAATTGACCAGAACAGGGTGCCTGGGCGATGGTTTGGGACCCTGATTGATGGCAGAATCGATGTGTGTTTGACCCCCTATTTTTCACCTCCCTATTGGGCCAGGGTTTCTTCGTGCGAAGAGATGCGTATCAACCCCTAAGACGGCGACACTGAGGTCTAGTTCCTTGGGGTGACACTGTGCGGCTGCCAGGCCACATGAAACATCGGCTGTGCGACTGTTGTGGTGGGTGGGCTCAGAGCTAGGCTGTCTTTCATGGGGGGTGGTGAAGCTGGAAATCACGAAGTCAAAACGAAAGTGTTTCTTTAAACAACTTGCATGCCTTTCCCTGTTCCTTTCACTTCTGTAATTTTTGTTGAGCTCTCAGAGCTAGGCTTTAAGAGGCATGCTGCACGAGACATGCACCACATCCTAGCAGGAAACAACAGGAAACCCACCTGAAAGCTGGCTATCTACTATAGCAACTGTCCACACCCTCACACACTCCGATACGAATCATCATGGGCCAACGTGGATGGAAAGTGGGGCCTGCTTCTTTGCGTTTCTGCGTGTTTGTTGTTCTACAGATCTTTGTTGACTTCTGATGAAAATATCATATACCTCTTCTTTGCTTGTTGCAAGTTGCATGCACCGTTGTTTTTTCTTATTACGTTGTCCATCTTTTCCTTTTTGTGCTGTGTGTCTTTTGTTCGTCTTTGTTTCTCGTTTGATGGACAGAACCATTCCAACGCAGCACACCTTTTGTAGGCCACCCGAGGGCAAACGAAAATGGAGCAGGAAGGATCAATGCCACCTTTTGTGGGCCAATGAAGGTAGAGGAAGTCCACTCTCCCAAACTATTCACAATGCGGGCCGGCCACCACTGGCAGACAATATCATGTGCATGGTTCATCAACTTAGTCCTGTTTTTCGTCTATTAAATCTACATGTTTGTAGTGGTTCTGTGGTTTTCCCTGGACATATCTTTGGAACAAGCAAGAAATGAGAGCTTATACTGTCCCAAACCATTGCAGAATGCCAGCGAACCTGCACACCACTGCCAGATGCAGCAGGTGCATGGGACATGACATCCCGTGCCACAGAATTGCGAAATACTACACGGGGTCCTGTCCAGCAGTAAATCTACAAACATCTTCCAAACCCCCCAAAACCCCCGAAACAAATTCTAAAACCGGTTGTTAAATGTGTGTTGAGAAAATGGTCCGACTTGGAACATTGACCAGGAACCTCTGCAAAGCGCACAGGTACCTCCTATTTGTTGTGGCCCACCTGCGGCATTTTTCCATGCACTGTGTCGGATTCCACCGTTCTGACAAATGTCTCTTGCTGCGTAGCAGGTCCGCTGCAGACGGATCCTTGATTGAAACATATGGCGTTTATTTTGTTGCGTCGATGCGTTTCCTCTTATTCCGGGGGGAGTTGCGTCGATGCGTTTCCTCTTATTCCGGGGGGAGCTCATCGGGAAGTTGACCAAGTTGGCGAGGGGTATCATGTTTGGTGACGTTCTGATGGCCTCAATGAGACATCAAATAGCATCAATTCAACCAACTTGTGTGAAAGAACTAGTCCACCATGAAAAGAACGAAGGCTTGTTTGCCCAGCCGGGCGCTCGTTTCTGCCATGGGGTTCTGTTGGAAACCGTCGTTCGGGCCCGACAAAATCTTGGCTCGAATCCGTCGTTCTGGTTGACCGGATTCGACGTCAAGACCTTTGGAGTTAGAATTAAACAAATTTAGTTAAATTAACTAATAGCTTCTTTGTTACTACTAGTAAGGCACTTGTTACTAGTAGCGATGCACTTGTTCCTAGTAGCTTCTTGTTACTACTAGTAAGGCACTTGTTGACCGGATTCGGCGTCAGGGACCTTTGGAGTTTTTATTTTTTCCACTCATCAAGGTCAGTGAGAGGTCTCCCCACGATCCGCCCATCGGAGCACACGAACCCCGAATGGCCAACGTGGATGGGTCAACGCATGGCCCCTTGCTCTTCGGATGACGCATGGTCAATCCGAAGAGCAAACAGGTGGTGAGCTCATTCACTCACTCACTCACTCACTCACTCCCTCCACGTAACTATGTCATATAAGTTAAGTGACTTTCTAAGTAGTGTCATTGATGACTTGCGAGCTTAGAATTCCTTTTGAATGAAGCGTCTACCAGCAGGGGTGCGATGGGGTATGATCCTCCAAGCCACACTTAGCGTGAACTGGTGTGGTTTCTCCCGCTCCCCCGTGCGTGGGACCTTTTTGGGGGGAACGTCAACATGCGGAAATTAGCCGTTTCAGCTATACAGTGGGTTCAGAGTTTTCATGGTGGTTTATGTGAACCCCCGTCTAAAAAGACATGTAGACGGTTGTGCCGCGTGAACCACGAGATCCTCAAAGACGCTTCCTGAACAGACCGTTTGTCTCAGAGGACGCGCATGAATTTGCACACCCACGGTATTGGTATGCGCCTGAAGCAAGGTATTGGAATGTCGACAGTGGTTTGGGTCCATTGCAGGATTCTATTCAATTTAGCTTCTATACCCAGAAACGACACTCACTTGCGCCCACGACTCGGAAACCAAAAAAGAACACACACAAGTACCCACCACCTCGTCTATGGGCGGCTTCCCCCATGTCTCCCATCCCCCACTCGTCCCGCCCGTCTTCATTCACTCGGTCCGGGTCTAAACCGAGGTCTTCGTCACGCGGCTGGTGCCTAGCATCTTGCTGATCCTCCTGGTCTGGCGAGGCCACGGCGATCACTCCATCGGCCCCTTCTCGGCGACGGGAGGTCGGTCGGTCGGATGACTGGACAGGTGGACGACGTCCATGATGGTGAAGAACGAGTATGACTAGAACAGTTATAGTCGTTTTTTTATCACCGCCCTCCGCCCAAAAGCCCTCCTTTCCCCAAAACAGAATCCTCTGAGAGACTTCCGCGTTGGTCATCCTGGAACCTCAGTCTCAACACTTTCTGGATACATCAGAGAGTCATTCTAATATCACTATGCCGCCAAAAGGGAAGCACATTCTCCTTGACCCTAGGCCTCATGCAGAACAACTGAAAAACGCATGTGCCCACTTAAGAATGAAATGCCTCAAGCATCCTTGGTACACCTGTTTTTGGTATTCCAGCCAGCCACCAAGAAGGGTGGGAACGTTGCTGGTATTTGTTAACGTGCACGTTGCAAGCTGCCTCCGTATCCCTGTCGCATGTTTTCGTGGCATGCCCAAGCTGGAAGCCTAGTCAAGCAGGGATACCTCCACACAATGCATGATCCTGCTCAGTGGATTGTATGAATTTGGTTCTGAAGAAACTTTAAGGAGGCAAGTACGTACGTTAAAGTATACGAGTATCCGACAAAACTTCTACAGTAGATGTACTTGAGTCCTGAGCCGCCTTCAGCATTTCTGAATTGATCAAAACCTTGCAAAACCGGTAGGGGCCAACCCTATACTTTACCTATATACCCTTTCTTGATTGAAAGTAGTTCCTGGCCTTCCGAAACACTGGAAACCGCCAACCGAAATTGCTTTTGGCATTGGGGAACCGAAGAAGTTTTGTCCACCACTCATATTGTAAGGGCTTCGCCCGGGTGCCGCCGACCCCTTTTCAAGAGG